TATATATATATATATATATATATATATATATATATACATACATACATACATACATATATTCATTCACATAAAAATGGAAATAATAATGAGTAGATTATTCTTAAATTCATAAAAAATTATTAATGCAAATATTTGCTTATATTATTAAGTATCCTACATAAAACTGATTAGTTCGCTTATGGCTGGAACTTGTTAATTAAATTAATTAACAAGCATGAATAGTATTTTAGAACTTTAGCCATATTCATGCTTGATGAAAGCAAGTTAAGAAGATAAATGAACAAGCTTGAATGGCATGGTTCTCAGCTTGTTAGCTTCACACGGTTTATGTAAAAACAGTTATCATCAAAGTATGAATTATATATAATTCATATTTAGATTTTGGTTGAAAACATGGCAACTCTAATCCTTGTGAGAAGTATCAAATTAAGTAGGACTTATGACATTATCCTATTAAGGAAGATCACTCCAAAAGCTAACTTCATGTATCTAATTTTAATTTTGAAAAGAAAAAAGGTTTATATTTTTTTCCAATTAGCAGTCTTTAAAAATATTTACACACTTCTCAAATTGATGCGAATTAGAGTCGATTTTATTTTTTAGTTCACATAATATTCTCAAATATTATGATTAAATGTTAAGCACGTTTATCAAAGCATACGCAAAAATTCAATTTTGATTGGGTGTATGCCTTTCAGTGCATTTGTGTAACACATTTGTATAATTTTAGGGCTTTTACATGATGCGTTAGACATTTTTTTTAAGATATTTTAAAAATTATCTCGCAATGTGTGAACAAGGTTAAAATTATCTTAATTTCATTATTTAAACTAATAATTTAACATGAGATGAATGCACATGCTTCATTTCAATATTTTTAAGGATTCTTGTCCGCTTGCACGTTTGAGTTGTCGATCTGATGACGGCTTTTATATATTAGAATATTTTTGTGCATGTTCAGAATGTAAATTTTCTCACTCCGCATGTTTGTATTTTTATGTATTGCATACCACAAAATAAGAGCTTTTCCTAAAGTTAATTTTTACACTACTTGAATTTTCCATTCACTTAGAAGTGTTTTGAGGGTTTCTAAGTGTTTAGTTCAAGTAAAGAGGTTATATCCATGTTTGTGTAGATGCCGACGAGTTCATCACAAGTCACCTATAAGTCCCTCAAGCTCAATTCCAATTTCATATCATTCTCAATGTATTCTTTGTAAGTTTGCTATCATTTTATAGTTCTATAGTTCAATATTTTCCTCATTCTTAAAATCTAATGTTACATTTATGTCCAAAAGCCATTTTTCTTAATTTGTTCTACTTAAGTTGTTTGTCTGTACGGATTTTGACGACTAGGGACTGCATTTGATTGGTTTTAAGGACTTGATTAATAGATTTTAAAAACTAAGTGAACAGAACAAAATAATAGAGGCAACCCAACCGACAAAATAATAAGTAGAACAAAACTAAAACAAACCGTAATATAGTTTGATCTTGCTTCAATTGAATTTTGAAGAAAAAAAGTAAAAAAATTAGTTTTTATAACACAATTTTTAAACACCCAACTTTAATCCTATAAATCATTTCCATATCTATAACCCCCCTTTTTTTGAATAATGAATTTAAGAAAAGCCTATGATGTCAAGGTTCTACTTAATCTTATAATAATACTAATAAAATTGTTAATTCTCAAAAATCAATCATATTGTTAGATGAGAAATTTGTGCTTCAGTTGAAAAATACTTGCCATTTTATGTTTAGTATTGAAAGAATTCATCAAGAAAAAATGATAACAAGTTCTCCATTTCATTAGTATTCTGGGTTGGGTTTGATATGGTTTGTCAAATTCAGTCTGAAAGGCCAAGCTATTATTTCTAAACATGATGCCGCTAAGTAGTCATGCAGTAATGGTAAGTCCTCATCGTCTATGTATACACTCTAAAAGTTTTATTATCTATCAAAAAAATATCATCTGAAAATCAATTATGCCAATAAATACAGGCTCTTCAAAATTTAAAATTGTATCAGAAATGTCTTTGTTCCTGTCAAATCATTATTCTTGAAGTGACTTCAAGCAAATATCCATCCAATATCAAGCCACGATCAATTGTGATCCAAACCAAGTTGAGGCAGGTCAAAATCATTTCAAATTAAGCACAGAAAACGTTGAAATCCCAAACTGAAAGTCAGTTATGAGCTCTCCATCAGTTCAGTTTAGCATTGGATATAACAACAACTAAAAACTAATATAAATGATTGTTGAAGATATAGCTCCAACACATTGCATTGCGTTTATACAACATAGTGTTAATAGATCATCTACACTTAAACATTGTATCATGCCATTTTCGAGTGTTTCTTCCATCGCGACACAAATGAAGAGAAATCAAATCTCCATCAGTTCTGTGTCTATTAATATTCCACCAAGCCTAGCAATCCTACACCTTTCTTAATCACTTCATATCACCTAAATAATCCATGGGATTATTTTTTGCCGCCTCATTAATCTATGGACCATTGTAATTACTATTTGACTACTCTTTTAACACCCGATCAATCTGTAAGATATTATAATTATTTTATAATATTGGTATTCCCCAAATTTAGATGTTTTCTATTAGAAACACTCCTAAAATTGAGTATAGATACTACATAAATACTAGAACGAAATAATTTGTGAATTCTTTCCAATTTTTGTCAGATATCACAAACTAGTCCAATAAAAATGGAAATAGTTCCATTTTAAGTATAAATTTTACTTGCAAAGTCAATTATGAATTATAATGCAATTTCATCTGTCCCCATGATGTTACAAAAGTTAGAAATAATATAAGATCTAGTGCCAAAACAGCAATAAAAAAATACAGAAATTTCGATTAATTGCGTTTGCATACCTTTAGCGTTTCGTGAACTAGTTGCATAAGTTGACATAGTGCGCTTGATATGAAACACCTTTCAGGCTGAAAAAGCAAGTCAGCTGCATGCCTAGAAGGAACTTCAGAAGCATCATAAAACAGCATACCGCTGTTAGAGGTTGCTTCCTGCAATTTCGAAGATAATTGTATCAAACAGGAATTGCTTTTTGTAACTAGAAGGGAAAAAGTCACGACTAACCTGGGAACTGAACTGAAGAAGTATCTTCCGAGCCTTTGCCAGGATTTCATTCTTTTTCTTAGTAGCAAAATGAACCTCAACATTGTGAGTAAAGTGACTCAACCTTTGTTCGCTTTTATTGTCAAAAGAGATAAAATTGATTTCCTTTAAAGAGTTCTCAAACTCAGAAGTGCACCTAATAATATTCTCGAATTCCACCATGTTTGCAGCATCTTCTGGAACAGCCTGAACAAACAGTTAAGATTATTTATCACTCATAAATACTCAAGGAAAGACTAAATCTGAGCTATTCAATGGCATTAAGTGGTGAAAAAGCCAGTCCAAAAGTTCATGAAATTGCTTAAAAAGTAATCTCAGAAATAACAAATCTCTCCTATCAATGAAGCCTTCCCCAAGGGTTAATAAATGAATACAAATTCTCCTTTCATACATAAATGAATACAAATTTTCCTTTCATACCTGTTTGAGTATTGTATGATGCATAACACATCATGCTTGGGTATAATATATTTACAATAAGTGAAAACTGTGAAGCAAAGGTAGTCATTCAACCTTAATGCAAAAACCCCTCTCATTTTGTCAAAGGCAGTAAAAATTAAATTTCGTCCAGAAAAGAGCAAAAGCAATTCAGATGTTTAAAATAATCACATAAATCAGTCAAATATCCAGCTATTAAAGTGCATGAAGCATGCTCTCTAGAAGTGACATAGACTATCCATTCATAAACTTCATACCATGAGCCTGTTGACCTCATTTTCAATGAGGTCTTAGTTTTTTCTCCTCAGAGCCTAAGAGCCTTAGGATTCCTTGTTGACCATCCAAGAGAACAAATATTAGAACCCAGCTTACGTAGGACTGCGAACCATTTCTTGACCCATTTTTGCGAAAACCTTGCACGAGTGATCCCAAACACTCAACTTCTACTTGCAAGGGTTAAGGACCATCATGTGGAAGGCCCAAAAATGAGTTCTCATAAGATTAGAAAGCCTTAGGTGAACCTTAATTTAATCAGGCATTATTAGTTTCCAATTAGGTCGGCTGCTTTAATGGAAACGACTTAATTCCCTGTGAAACGTCTTTCTGGAATTCGCGTGATACAAAAAATAAGCCCCGTCTCCTCTTCTCCTCATTCGGCCTCCCTCTTCCTCTCCCGAGACTCACCTGCCCGCCTCATCCCTGCACCGAAGCGCTCGCCTCTTCTCTTTGCACTGAAGCCCTCTCCTCTCCTCCCTCCACCGAAGTCCTCGCCTCTCTGCATCGATCACGCTCGCCCAAAAGCACTCTGACACTCGCCCGATTCGGCTCCTCTTGATCCACTTCTCGCTTGCTTCTTCCTCGCTCGGTCGAAGCCAAAGAAACCTCCTCTCCTTCACACCGAAGCACTCGCCCCTCCTCCGCGAACCGAAGCCCTCTCCTTCTCTGCGCCGCACCCGCTCACCTGCTTCCCTGTCCCCTGCACCGAAGCTTTCACCCACTCGCCTCCTCATTTCGCCGAGCCCGATCGCCTCCTCGCTTCGCCGAGCCCGCTCACCTGCTTCGCTCTCCCCTGAACCGAAATAGCTCTACCACATTCGGTCCCCCCCTCAACTGCTCCTCTCGAACTCGCTGCCATGGACACCCGCCTTCCTCTCTACGCCGAAGACCCTCGCTCGACTCTTCCGAAACCGACCCTCGCCTCTTCCTCTCCCGCCGAAATCTTCTCATCCAAAGCTCCCTCACTTCTCTCGCAAGCTGAGCAAGACCCTGAAAAAGGCATCCGAGTTCATCAAAGGTTTGTGCCCTCCTTAGGTATTGTCTTCTGATTCACTTTCTGGAAGCTTGCCAATTCAATCATACATGCTTCCAAGTCCCAATTGAATTCCAGATTCTTAACAGTAACTACTTTAGTTATGCTCAAAGAAGATTTATTTGCTTTGAATCTGAAATTCTCATGCGTTTAATCCTAAATTGGTGAAAATCAGAAATAAATATATTTACTTTTTGGGAGGATTTAAGGCTCTTCGTTTCGTCTACTCCTCTCTCTGGACTTTTTTCTTCCTGCTTATCTCCTTGGCTACATGTTTTCCATTTCGTTCTATTTACATCTTGCTTCAGCAAAATTAAGCGAGGAATGACTTCTATCCTTCTTTGCTCATTGAAAGTTCTAAGTTGATGGGTGAAAGTTTGGCCATAGCTATGCACTTTGAATGAGTATTTGTTCCTGGAGATAATTAACTACACATGCAGGATACAATTCCTAGAGAATTTTTACATCTAACACTGTGAGTTTTAATTCCTTTGTGGATGTCACTTTACCTGTCATTTTGAGGTTGTTTTATACACAATTTTGGAGACATTAAAAGCATCGTTTTGTGGTTGTTTTGGACACTGCTTTGAAAGTGTTTTGTGGGCTGGGTTTTAGAACAGTTTTGGTAATGTTTTGAAACTGTTTAGAGGTGTTTTTAATGACTGATTTGGAGAAGTTTGCATACTGTTTTGAGATGAATTTAAGGATTATTTTGGGGTGTATTGTAGGCTGGTTTTGGAGTAATTTTGTTTCACTTTGACACTGTTTTGAGCATTATAAATCACCATTTTGAGGGCCTTCGTTGGCTAGTTCTTAGCATAGTTTTGACAACATTTTGGGGCATTTCGGTGGGCTAATTTGATGCAATCCATGCAGTGGACATTTTGTTGGGCTGATTTAAGGCAATCCATGCACTGATTTTGGGGCATTTTGGTGGGCTGATTTGATACAATCCATGCACAGTTTTGGAGGTATTAAAGGTATCACTTTAGGGTTGTTTTATGCAGTGTTTTGAAGAGGTATATGTAGCCTTTAAGCGCTGATTTACATGCGGTTTAGAGTTGGTTTTAAAGAGCCCTTTTGCCCATTATTTTGGGTTTCAAATGATTGTTATTTAAACGCGTTTAGGATAATTCACTTGTTGTTTCCCCCTTTGTTTAACAAGTTTTGAAAGTAGGTCGGCCCTCCCCTTTCTCTTGTTTTATTTCCTTTATTGAATGGTTTGAGTCAAAATAGGACTTTTTGATTTAATTATTTAAAAAATACTTAAAAATATTTGAGGATTAGTTGAAAAACACTTAATTGAGAGTAAAACGCCTTAAATCAATTCAAGCTCAAGTTAAAATGTAGACTTCCTAGATTTTATGAGCACTCCCTAGATGGTTGTTCATCAACCTAATTTTCGAATAAATTAGGAAACTAGACACTTGACCTTAATTCACAAATTGATTTAAACACTAAACATGAGGATACACCAAGATGTGATTCATGACTTCCTTAATTAAATCAATGAGTGAAATTTCCGTCATGACTTACCTTATAGTGAAACCCAATGCACCGGGATTTGAGTTTGAACATTATACTCAAATCTTTCTAGCAATTGGGGACATTTGTTAATGCTACAGATGGATCACCGAACTAGAATAAGCCTAGGGTCTAGGTGGCAAGGGCGATGATAAAAGTGCTTATGCATGCTAAAAGTGAGATTTAGAATAGTATATCCTATTTTAAAGACATTTAATAAGGGAGAGGGAATGACCGATGATACTATTCGCCGACTCTTGGTGGGATTGTCGCCCCCGAAGCTCTTAGGTTGTCAGCAGTCCTAGCTCGATTAGAGTGACTAGTCTATGAATTACACTACTTTACAAAATATTTTAAAAAATAAAACAAAATCTCTTTTTCTTAACAAAAAGAACTCTGCATAAAAAACTTAAACAACAATTTTTGCATGGAAATTAAAGAATTTTTTATGAAAACTTATAAAGGTCCATGGTTAGTCATTTGGATCGAGGTATAGGACTGTCCTCCGTAAATTGTCAGGTTGGTAGCTCTTGTTAAAGGTCGAGAAGCACATAGTCCAGCCCTGAGCCCCCACCTTTATCGATGTCATATACCTAGTCTTGGTCTTCCATATGTGACCACGGGTTTTGCTTTGCATGTTCATGTTACGACTCGTTTCGTTGTTTTTACACTATAATTTCTGTTTTATTTCTTTTTTGCAATTTATTTAAATTCCCTGCAAATTATATTATATTTTATGAACTAACCATGCAGCGGTAGCAGAAGCTTGGGTATGCATTTTTTTTATGCACTGCGGTTTATTTATTTACTTCACAGTATTTCCTTACCTACACTTATTTATTTTACATGCAAAACCAAAACGTACCTAGTCAAACCTCAAACCCTTAAACCTTTGAGCTATTGCTACAGTAGGAGACTCATAGCCAACTTCGTGGGCGGATCAAACAACAAGAAGATCTTCTTTGGCAATCTCTCTCCTTAGTTTAAATAACAATCGATAAGATTTTGAGGTAGCTCTCCTAGCGCGACGTAAATCCTCACACCCTATTTGGGCTACTGTGCAGCTATCTTGCGCTGCGTAAGTCCTAACTCACATTAGGTTCTGAGATTGTTGTCTGGTACGACATAAACCCTTCTGTCTCTGCGGGTTATTTGCATAATCCAATATTATGCGAATGTAAGTCTCAAATAGTAAAATTGTCAAGATCAAACAATTAAATAACATCGTCTTCAAAACTCAGTCACACAGCAGAATAGTTTTGGAAGTCATTTAGGGTTCCCCTCAGGATCTATAACGACCCCTACCGTTTCCTTCCTTCGACTCCTGAAAATAATTGTTTCCGCTTGAGTCACTCACACTTGCATTTCCACGTCCTACCGTGAAAACGTAAACCTTAAATTCTTAAATACTAGTACCTCTGATCATTATCGAGAGTTTTCTCAAGTGATTCCAGTCATTTGGAAAGTAATTAATTATAGGGACTTGTCTCTATAAAGAACTTGAAACTCAGGTAAAATAAACTCTATTTAATCTTTATATTAGATAGGGGAGCTTGTTGGTCACACATAAAAGGTTCGTGAACCAAACGGACGTCACAACTCTCTTAGTTTGCATAATTGGGTCTATCATCGAGGTATACATTTATCTTTCGGGAATGTGTAATATTCGCGGTATCAGACAAGATTATATAGATTATTGAACGAATGAGATCCATTTGGACTCATTTTTAAAAAATTAAAACACACTACTTTCAAAACCAAAACTACATTACTTTTATATTACATTAAATTTACCAAAATTATTTTCAAAATAAAAAAGTTGACCGATAGAACCTAATTAAGAAAATCACTTACCCTTTAATTTTCAATCTGAAAAATCCAACAAAACTAATAATTTCCAAAAAAGAGTTTTTAG